CGGGCCGTTTCTAATGGTAAATATGTCTGCTCTCCCCGCTTGCTCTCACCGGCTTGCTAGGGGCAGGGCTAACCCGCCGGGGCTCCCACTAACCGCATGCCCATCGGGCCCAGCCTGTGTGGGCCTCAGCCTGCCAGCAGGGCTCCCCTGGCAGCCTGGGCGCTGGGGCCTGCGGGCAGCAGGACACCTGAGTCCCCAAGAGCTGGCCTAGGAGCCTTCGGGGCGGTCTTGTCTCGTTCCTGTCATCCTCCCTCCTTGCTCACCCACAGCCACCTTCCAACTCCCCAGCCCTCTCCCAGCCACGGCCCCCTCACCCTCTTTCCACACAGCTAAAGACCCTGCCAGCTCCACCCTACCCTCCGCCATGCCCGCTGTGCCACCCGAGGGGGGTTAGGCACCGTCCCTGCCTTGGGCATTCTTTCTTGGGTTCCGGCCCACGTTAGTTCTCAGTGCCAGCGTCACGGACGTCCTGTCCTGCTGTAGTGGTTAGGAGCATGGCATTTGAGTTCAGACAGACCTGAGTTTGAATCCTGGCTCTGCCACTTTCCAGCCGTATGACCTCGGGGCAGCGGCTTTCCTGTCTGATCCTCAGCTCACTCTTCCGTTCCATAAGAGGCACCAGTCTCCTTTGGGGTTGGGGTAATGGCTGAACGAGTGAGCACAGAGCATGGGGGGGGGGCCTGGCACAGAGGAAGCGGAGTGTGACCGGTGGTTGTCATCGTGTGACCTAGAGAGTAGAGGGTTGAGCCGTGCTGTCCCGCTGTGCCCCCCACCCCAGCTCGGAAGGCCCCTGCAGTGGCAGACAATGTGCCCGGCTTCCCGGCACAGCCTGGGGTGAGGCAGCTCTGCTGCTCCCCATCCGGGACTCTTCAGAAACCACCTGCCTTGGCACAGGCTCTCTGTCCCCCGGGCGGCTGCAAGGCCCCATGAACCCCTTACACTGAGAGCACTCTTAGTGGGGGTGACTGGGCTCGGAACCTGAATTTAGATGTTCTCCCAGGTTCCTCCATGGTCTTGGGGAACCCCAGGAGAGACTAAGGTGGGAATGACACAGAGAAGACCCCACTGTGGCTGTCCTACACCTGGGCCTCTGAGGGACGTGGGCCTGGCAGGGACCCCCAGGCAGAGTCGGGCCGCTTCTGGAGCCCGGGCCTTGCGGAGCTCACTCGCTCACTGGTGACGGGTTGGCCCTGAGTGGTAGGAGTCAGAGGTTCAAGCTGCTAGTGCGGTGTGGTGCTTTGCTCACTCCGGTCCCTGATTCTGAGACGCACTCTCTGCTCTGGCGGACGCCTTGGTGTTCTCGCCCCCGTGGGAGGATTCTAGCCTCCCCCGGCCCCGACATGGCCAGGCCCTTGCAATGCTATTTCAGCTGGTGCTTTTCCCTTGGACTCACCCGACTGTCCCAGGGTGCCGTTGAAACCTGTTTTTCCTCTCGCTCTGAGTTCAGAAAATAGAGAGAATGATCCATCCACACCCCCCAGCTCTGACCTCTCAGCGAAGAGAAAACTTGAGTGGAAAGGAAGCAGCAGGAGACTTGGCTGGAGGAAGGACTTGGGCTTTTTCTAGCTCCGAGGCTCGCTAACTCTGTCACCTGCCTTTGGCGTGCTTCCTTCTCCCGTAGTCTTCTTCTCCCCCCCCCCCCCCCACCCTTCCTTCTTTCTTCCCCGCTGTCTCTTTCCCCCCCCCCCCCCCGATCCTACATGATACGTCCCCGTTAGGAAAGTGAAACAAGAACAGAACGGCAGCTTCTCCCCATGTGGAGCTAAAGGAGGGCCTTGGAGGACAGAAGGTAGCTGGCCTCATAGGCACCGTCTCCTCTGAAGACGAGCGTTCAGTCCCGGAACCGGGCTCTGTCTTAAGACAGCGGGCGTGGAGGAGGGGAGATACATTGATGGGCATCCCTCGGCGGCTCAGGAATCACCAGGCTCGCTCTTCCCATCCTGTAGTCATACTGTCCCCCCAGAACCACACCGCTACCAGAGAGACGGCCCGTGGAAGGAGGAAGAGGTTCCCTGGAGGCCACCGCCACCCTCACTTAGCTCCCATCTCTCTCTGCTCCCTCCCCTCCGCACCTCCTCCACCCTCGGCACAGGCACATTCCTGCCTGACAGCTCTGGCTTGTACCTGCCTCACTGCTGTCCACCTTGTTTCAATCAAGTCGGGGCCAGGGAGGTGGACTGCTTGGCTGCACTGGGGAGGGGTGGGGGCTGGGAGCGATGGGAGGAAGGGGGGCTGGGAGCCTCCGCCTAGTGCTCCTTCCACAGCACAGGGAGGCTGTGGAGGCCCTCCCTCGGGCCTCTCTGGCCTCTGCTACCCTCGGGTTAGGGATTCCTCCAGGCCAAGAACCCGGTCACCATTCCCTGCTCCCTTCTACACAGAGACCTGTGCTGTCAACAACGGGGGCTGTGACAGTAAGTGCCACGATGCAGCAACGGGCGTCCACTGCAGCTGCCCCGTGGGCTTCATGCTGCAGCCAGACAGGAAGACCTGCAAAGGTGAGGCTCTGAGAAGACGGGCGTGTGGGCACCTTTGACAAGGGCTGATGGCGCGGCCAGAGACAGGGCACCTCCTGGGGAAGTCACCTCCTCAGTCTCAGGAAGAAGCTAGAACATGGCTAAGGCCTGCCTCCGGCCCACCTTTCCCACCTCGGCCCAGGAGGAACAGAAGCCCAGCCAGTGCCTTAGAGCCCCCGCCCGTACTCTCACTTTTGCCCCCCCAATGAGTCCCTAACACTTCTAATGAACTTGTCACTCACATTCGTCCCTGGTTCTGGAGGGATGTTTGGGCCCTGACCGCGTGTGCGTGAGGTCACAGGTGTGTTCCATAACCTTAACCTTCCCAGTGGGCTCTGGAGAAACCACCTCTGCCCCTTAGAGAGGCTGTCCCACCGAGGGGAGACTAGGAGGGCTGTTGGGAGCACTGGTGCTATAGCGTAGCTGCCCGGGTTCACATCCTAGCCAAGCCTCAACGCCCTCTGAGATCCTGGGCAGTCTGCCTCAGTCTCCCCAAAGTGCCTGCCTCCTAAGTGTGCTGGGAGATTAAGAGTTACGATATAGACGGCCGGCAGGTGCCGTGGTGGTGAAGGTGCTGAACTCCCACAGGGCCATTGTGGTTCGAGTCCCCGACCTGGTTGCTTGCGTTCTCACTTTCCCCTTCTCTTGCTCTCTCTCTCTCTCTGTCTCTTGTCAAATTAAATAATAAAAATAAATAATAATAACAACATTAAATGAAGAAATAATTTTGAAGAAAAGAGTTATGACTGTAAAGCACTTAGAGCAGAGCTTGGCCAGTAGCAGACACTTCGTGTTGGATGTCCTTGCAGTATTGTCCATTCTGTCCCTCCCCTTTTGAATGAACCAGACCTATGGGAGGGCGGGCAGAGGGGAAGGAGGAAAAGGAGGGCCGCCATACTGAAAGTAATGACTGATCGGGCCTGTGTGCCCTGGTCACAGGAGTGGGGACATGGACTGGGCTGCTGCTTTGTGTCTTCAGGGCCAGCAGCAGCTGTGGGAGGAGGGAGGAGTGGGGAGGGCCGGGGCAGCGGGTCAGCCAGCCAGAGCTGAGAGGTTTCCTGCTGGGAAGGGCTGTTGACAGGTATGCTAAGAGTGAAGTGGAAGGCTGCCCTCCCTGCCCCCTCTCCCGGAGTAGGGTGAGTAGCCTGGGTCCTGTCTGCCACCAGCTTGGGGAACTTGACCTCAGGAAGGAAGCCATTCCCCCCTTCCTAGTGCTGAGAGCTGCCTCAGGCCTGAGTCTCTCCAGGCCTCTCCCAGGCCAGCCCCTGCCTGGCCCCAGCCCTCCCCGCAAACCCGCCTCACTGGCTCTCCTGAAGCCCCTCCCTGCCTGGCCTTTTCCCAGCTCCTGCCTGAGGGCTGCCTCTTTCCACCTCTCCTTGGCCCCGCCTCAGGAGGGATCCTGACAGGGCCCTTGTGCCAGGGGTGGGAGACTGGAAAGGGCGTCAGCCTTTTAGGAATGCCATCAGTGGAGAGTCAGGGGAGACACATCGCCAAGTCTCCATCCATTGGGATGAGCTAAGAGAACTCAGACAGCTTCTGAAGGCCATCGGGAAGGCTGGGGCATCAGGGGACAGCTTCCTGCCTCCAGAATTCCTGTCTGTCACCCATGCCGTCACTGTTCCTGGGCACCTGTCCTCAGCTCCCAAATGGTAGCCCCACTAGTAGGTACGAGTGGAAGGCTTTTTTTTTTTTTTTTTTTCAAGAATTGTTTTATCTTATGTTTTAACTATTTATTTATTTATTTCATCAATTTGACCAGAGAAAGAGAAAGTGAGAAAGCAAGCCACCAGGTCCGGGCCTTGAACCATAGTCAGCCATGTGGGAGTCCAGCACTTTTAACCACCATGCCACCTGCCAGCCCTAGGGGGTGGAAGGCTTTAAAAAGTTGGTAAGGGTAGCTCCGTAAGTCAAATGCCCGCTTGCTCCCTGCTCCACGCAATTCCCTGAGGGCCTAATTCAAGTTCTCATCTGTCCCCTTCTAAGAGGGGACTCGGTTCCAGAAAACTGGGTGTTACTAATAGCCCTGGATCCCCTGAACGGGAAAGAAACGAGAGAGGAGGGTGAGGATCAGAAGGGACCGGCCCAGCACTCGTCCTGATTGTCCCCGTCTCCGAGGAGAGGGGAGGGGTCCTGCGTCCCTGCGCGTTCCCAGCGGTCGACCTCACCCCGTCCCGGTTCTGTGGTCTGTGTCCCCCAGACATTGACGAGTGCCGCCTGAACAACGGGGGCTGTGACCACATCTGCCGCAACACCGTGGGCAGCTTCGAATGCAGCTGCAAGAAGGGCTACAAGCTTCTCATCAATGAGAGGAACTGCCAGGGTGAGCGGGCCGGGCCGCGAGTCTGGACAGAGCTCCTCGGGGTGGGAGGTCTTCAAGGAGGCCCGAGAGCCCGCAGAGACGGCGGGGAGTCTCCGTAGTGAAAGAGCAGACAGCACCCCTTCCTCTGGGCAGACCAGCTTCCCTCTGGAGCATACGGCTCGGTACAGATGATAGATTGGCACTGTCCCAGGGCTGGACATGAGGGGGAGGGACTCTTTCCACTCCAAGGGGACAGCCAAGGCCTCTCACTTGGGCCCTTCCCCTGAGCAAGGGTCAAGTGTCCCAAGACAGACTGAGCGGTTTGAAACCGTGTTCTTCCAGACATAGACGAGTGTTCCTTTGATCGAACCTGTGACCATGTGTGTGTCAACACGCCGGGAAGCTTCCAGTGTCTCTGCCATCGTGGCTACCTGCTGTACGGTGTCACGCACTGTGGTGGTAAGCCAGCAAGCTCGCACCCCCCAGCCACCCGGCCTGCCCTTCTCACCTCCTCACCCACCTGTGGGATAAGTCCCGGAGCTGGCTTGCAGCTGGGAGCGAGCCTGGGACACATGCGCCATGTCTCCATCCATTGGGATGAGCTTAGAGAACTCAGACAGCTTCTGAAGGCCACCAGGAAGGCTGGGGCAGCAGGGGACAGCTTCTTGCCTCCAGAATTCCTGTCTCCCATCCCATCACTGTTCCTGGGCCCCTATCCTCCACTCCCAAATGATAATCCCACTGGTAGGTAGGGGTAGAAGGCTTTTTTTTTTTTTTTTTAAGAATTATTTTATTTATCTTTATTTATTTTAACTTGACCAGCGAGGGTCAGAGTGAGAGACAGAGAGAGGGAAAGTGAGAAAGCAAGTCGCCAGGTTCAGGACTTGAACCGTGGTTGGCCTGTGGGAGTCTAGCACTACCACACCAGCGGCCAGCCCAGAGGGGCGAAAGGCTTTAAAAAGCTGGAAAAAGACCAGTAATTGGTGTGGTTATTAAGGCACTAGATCTCACATAGCCAGCTCTACGGTTCAAGTCCCAGAACTGATGAAAAACATGCCGGGCACGTCCATGAGTTTCCAAAATCTGATTCCCATGTAGTCTACCACAGTTCGAGTCCCAGACCTGGTGGCTTAAACTCACGCCGAGCATGTGTGCGTGCATACCCAAGATCCCGAGAGGAGAATGGAGGAGAAGGGACTGTGGTGTGGTCATCCCCCTGGGGGGTGATTTCTCCCTTTCTGTCTCTCTGTCTCTCTCTGTGTTTCTGGCAAGCGCACGCGCCCTATAGCAAAAACTTCTCAAAAAAAAAAAAAAAAAAAAAACAGGAAACCGAAGGAGAAGGGACTGTGGTGTGGCCACCCCCCTGAGGGTGATTGGTCAAGCTGACTTCCCCTCCTCAATTGCTCCTTGGCTGGAAACAGAGATGAGAGGTTTGAGCTTCTTTCAGGGCAGTGGTCATCTTGGGGTGGCTGGAATGCTTTACAAACTTTTTATCTATTGTAAGAGCATTGAACATGAGCTCGCTCCCCTTAACAAGTTTTGAAGTGTGCACTGCAGGACTAGCTATCGGCAGGGTGTTGTCCCGGCTAGGACTTAACAACCTTGCTTATCTCAGGGTGCCTGAGCTCTCAGCACAGGTCTGCACTCACTGACCACTGCCCGGCTCCTACTCCCCTCCCACCGTTGTCTGTGTCCCCCTGCTCCTTCACCAGATGTGGACGAATGCAGCATCAACCGGGGAGGTTGCCGTTTTGGTTGCATCAACACTCCTGGCAGCTACCAGTGTACCTGCCCGGCCGGCCAAGGCCGGCTGCACTGGAATGGCAAGGATTGCACAGGTGGGCAGCCCCCTCTGCTGGCCACGGCTGGCACTGCACCTTCAGGAGGCCACAGGGTCCTGGAAAGCAGAGAGCTCCCTGCTGGGAAGGTGTGAGGAGGGAATGGGGGAGAATGTGCCCTTTGAGCCAGACAGGAAGTTTCTGGGAAACAGGATTATTTCGCAGCCAGTTCTCGCTCTCCAGGTTACCCAACTGGAGAGGGTGGGAGACAAATGTCCCCGTCTCCTCAGGCCTCTCTCCCCTTCCTAGAGCCAGTGAAGTGTCAGGGCAGTCCCGGGGCCTCGAAAGCCATGCTCAGCTGCAACCGATCTGGCAAGAAGGATACCTGTGCCCTGACCTGCCCATCCCGGGCCCGGTTTTCACCAGGTACGTGGGGAAGGGTGCTCGAGGCGGGGGGGAGAAGAGCGGGGAGGCCGGCTGTCCGCAGCTCCTCTGTGCCCGTTGGGGTCCTCCCACCTGTGGGGGTTGGGGGAGGGAGAGCTATGACCGGCCCCTTCTCTCAGAGTCTGAGAACGGCTTCACGGTGAGCTGTGGCACCCCCAGCCCCAGGGCTGCCTCATCCCGAGCCGGCCATCCCGGGAACGGCACCAGCTCCAGCCACTGTCATGGTGAGCACCGCCCACCGAGCTCTGCGCTGACTCGCCGCTCTCCCTCACCCGTCCCTCCGGCCCCGCTTCTCCTCTGCTCTGTGCTTGTCCAGTCCTGCCGCCTCATTCCCTCTACCCTAACCTCTGATCCCCTTGGGCTGTGGGCCTGCTCCCCTGGCCAAGCCCTGGCTCCTCTCCTGGCTTCTCGACACCCTCCACTGCAGTCCCTGCCCCCCGGGGCCCCCGCACGCTGAGCTCCTGCCGTCCCTCTAGAGGCTGCAGTGCTGTCGGTGAAGCAGCGGGCCTCCTTCAAGGTCAAGGACGCCAAATGCCGTCTGCACCTGCGGAACAAAGGCAGACCCGAGGAGGCCGGCCGGATCCCGGGGCCAGGTCTGGACTGGGGACCCTGAACCCCAAACTCCCACCCCCAGCTGCTGTACTTAGCGAGATCTCTTCCAAAACATCTGTCCCCTGAGACTGGGAGCTCCCGTAGGGGTGTCTCAGGGCCGCTCCTGTGAGCATCCTGAGCTCTGGACGGAGCAGGGGGAGAAGCGGCTGTAGGCACAGGGCCCAGGAAGTCCCCGTGGTTCCCCTCCCCTAGTAACGAGTACGAGTAAAGAAGAGTGAGGGACATGCAGTCAGAGAGCTGCTGAGGGCTGTCTGGGCGGAGTGGAGTTAGCACTGGAAGCGAGAACGTCCCCTGGGCTGCCCCTGGGTTAACAAGGCCTCTCCTCCAGGTGGTGCCCCCTGCTCTGACTGCCAGGTCACCTTCATCCACCTCAAGTGTGACTCCTCTCGGAAGGGCAAGGGCCGGCGGGCCCGGACCCCTCCAGGCAAGGAGGTCACCCGGCTCACCCTGGAACTGGAGGCAGAGGTCAGGGCCGAAGAAACCACAGGTGGGACTAGGGGCAGTGTTGGGAGGACGGGTGGGAGGCCGGGGCAGGGCAGATGGGGAATGCAGGTCGCAGCAGTAGCAGGAGCCGGGCCTGCACGAGAGGCAGACCTGACAATGCCAAGCCCGAGCTGGTCCCTCTCGCCACAGCGCCCGAGCTGCCAGTCCCGCTCCTCTGCTCTCCTGCTCACAGCAGCTCTCTCTCCTTCTCGCATACCACCATCACCACCAGCTGGCTGTGGGCTGCCCTGCCTCCGACAGCGGATGGAGCGGCGGCTGAAGGGGTCCCTGAAGATGCTCAGGAAGTCCATCAATCAAGACCGCTTCCTGCTGCGCCTGGCAGGCCTTGATTATGAGCTGGCCCACAAGCTGGGCCCTGCCACCGGGGAGCGCGTGGAGCCGGCGGAGGCCTGTAGGCCCGGGCAGCACCGTGCTGGGGCCAAGTGTGGTAAGGGAGCTGGCTGGGGAGCAGGGGTGAGGGGCAAGCCCGCGTCAGCCTGTCTCAGAGCAGGCCCCTTTAGGGCAGCTGATCAGATTGCGAGGTAGCCGAGCCCCTCCTACCCACTCTCCTCCCTCCCCTGGTCCCAGGCCGAAATCTGGGCAGTCAGGCGGGGCTGGGGACCTTCTGCACACGGTTTTGACCCCCGCCCCCAAAGCAGGATGCTGTTCATTCCCTGTCAGAGAAATTCTCCCTGAATCGGGAGGAGCGGGAAGGGGAGTCCCAGGCCGGGTGGTGGGCCGTGGGGGCGGGTGGCTAGCACGGCCGACTCTCCCTCAGTCAGCTGCCCGCAGGGAACGTATTACCACGGCCAGACGGAGCAGTGTGTGCCATGCCCAGCGGGCACCTTCCAGGAGAGAGAAGGGCAGCTCTCCTGCGACCTTTGCCCTGGGAGTGATGCCCACGGGCCTCTCGGAGCCACCAACGTCACCACGTGTGCAGGTGCCAGGGGGACAGACAATGCAGAGTGGGGAAGGGTGGGCACTGGGACGCCCATGGGCATGGGATTTCCCAAAGGGCAGGCCCAGGCTCCAGGCCACTCTCCGAGTCGACATTGTGTTTGTGCCTCTGACCCGAGACTGGGAGACCCACGGGGTGACTCGGGGCCGTCCCCGTCAGAGTTGGGCCCTTGTGCATTGCAGGTCAGTGCCCACCTGGCCAGCACTCTGTAGACGGGTTCAAGCCTTGCCAACCCTGCCCACGTGGCACCTACCAGCCCGAAGCAGGACGGACCCTGTGCTTCCCGTGCGGTGGGGGCCTCACCACCAAACACGAGGGGGCCATCTCCTTCCAAGACTGCGACACCAAAGGTGAGTGGGCTTCCTGACCCACTGGGGGACCCCACCCCAACTGCTTCCCCTGAGTGCGTTGTCCCACCATCTCCCCACACCAGGATAGGCCCAGCTGCCTGACCACCATACCATCCTGCTGCCAGGGCCTGTCCTGGCCCTTCACCAGTGCCAAGCCTAGGAAGTTGGGAAATAAGTCACAGTTCCCCCTCAGCTTTGGACAGCTGGTGGCACGTCCCCTCTACCCCAGACGAGCCTCGGCATAGGCTTGGCACTGGGCTCGATACCCAAAAGAAAAGGATTGGTACTGTAGCCCACCACCGGGTAAAGCAGGCTTTTCCCCTGGGCTTACACCCCGGCCTCTGAGGAACTTCGGTGTCTTCGGCCTCCTCACTCTGCGATGAGTGTGTCCTGCCCAGGGCTGGCCCCAGCTCTAGACCTACCTGCCCACTGCATCTTTTTTTTTCTTTTTTTAAGAATTATTTTGTTTAACTTTATTCTTTCTTTCTTTATTTTAATTTGACCAGAGAGGAACAGAGAGAGAGAGTGAGAGAGAGAGAGAGAGAAAGCCACCAGGTCCAGGACTCAACCCAGTTGTCCATGTGGGAGTCCAGCGCCCTAGCTAGGAAGTTGGGAAATAAGTCACAGTTCCCCCTCAGCTTTGGACAGCTGGTGGCACGTCCCCTCTACCCCAGACGAGCCTCGGCATAGGCTTGGCACTGGGCTCGATACCCAAAAGAAAAGGATTGGTACTGTAGCCCACCACCGGGTAAAGCAGGCTTTTCCCCTGGGCTTACACCCCGGCCTCTGAGGAACTTCGGTGTCTTCGGCCTCCTCACTCTGCGATGAGTGTGTCCTGCCCAGGGCTGGCCCCAGCTCTAGACCTACCTGCCCACTGCATCTTTTTTTTTCTTTTTTTAAGAATTATTTTGTTTAACTTTATTCTTTCTTTCTTTATTTTAATTTGACCAGAGAGGAACAGAGAGAGAGAGTGAGAGAGAGAGAGAGAAAGCCACCAGGTCCAGGACTCGAACCCCAGTTGTCCATGTGGGAGTCCAGCGCCCTAGCCACCATGCCGCTGCTTCCCACTGCCCACTGTACCTTGACCCCTGCCTTTCCTTGCAGTCCAGTGCTCCCCAGGGCACTACTACAACACCAGCATCCATCGCTGCATCCGCTGTGCCATGGGCTCCTACCAGCCCGACTTCCGGCAGAACTTCTGCACGCGCTGTCCAGGAAACACAAGCACTGACTTCGACGGCTCTACCAGTGTGGCCCAGTGCAAGAGTATGTGGCAAGCCAGGGTGTGGCAAGGGGCCGAGAGGCCAGGGAGCAAGGGGCACACAGGAAGGGGGACACCAACGAGGGGCAGGAGTGGAGGCGGATGGGCAAGGAAGCCTCACCTCTCCCCCAGCCCACTCGCTCTCGAGGCCGGTCGCTAGGCTGGGCCCTGTAGCTCTCTGTCCCTGGAGGCAGGTATGAAGAGGCAGACGGGGGAAGTGAGCAGAGGAGGTACTGTAAGGCAGGAGAGGAGGCGGACCCAGAGCCTGGACGAGCTTGGATGGGGGCTGCCCACTCGGGTCCGTCCTCCACTTCGGAGTGCGTCCCGCCCCAGCCTCCTCCCCACTGACGTCCCTTCTCATTTGTTCTCCCTGGGTGTGGCTGCAGACCGGCAGTGTGGTGGGGAGCTGGGGGAGTTCACCGGCTACATCGAGTCCCCCAACTACCCGGGCAACTACCCAGCCAGCGTGGAGTGCATCTGGAACATCAACCCCCCACCCAAGCGCAAGATCCTTATCGTGGTACCAGAGATCTTCCTGCCATCGGAGGACGAGTGTGGGGACGTCCTCGTCATGAGAAAGAACTGTGGGTGGCTGCAGGGCTGGGCCCGGGAAGGGTGGCTGCAGAGCTGGGCCAGGGACGAGCGTCTGAACATGGGCGGGAGGGAGAGAGAGAGACGGGAACAGGAACTGGGCAGTGCAGGCGGGGACCCCTGGGGGCCTCACAGCGAGGGAAGCCTTTAGGAGGGGAGAAGCAGGCAGGAAAACGGCAAGGCAAGGGACGGTGTGTGTTCAGTGGAAAGCGGTTAGGAATGCCAGCCCCGGGGCTAGGACCCTAATCATGCTCCCCGCCTCCCTCTCCTAGACTGGCATGTTTGTCATCGTCCAATTTCTCATACTGCGAGTGCGCCCAGATATTAAGGGCAAGCCCTGGGATCCCCGGGGCAGGGGCTGTGGGGGGTGTGTGCTGTGAGGGGCTCTGTCAGTGAGTCCTCCTCCCCAGCTCCACAGCCCTTACTGCGGGAGGGCCAGGGTGGCCTGCCCTGCTGCTCTGCTGACCTCCTGCTTGCCTTCCCAGCCTCCCCATCCTCCATTACCACTTACGAGACCTGTCAGACCTATGAGCGCCCCATCGCCTTCACAGCCCGTTCCAGGAAGCTCTGGATCAACTTCAAGACAAGTGAGGCCAACAGCGCCCGGGGCTTCCAGATCCCATATGTCACCTATGATGGTGAGTAAGGCCATGAAATCCAGAGCGGGGGCGGGGAGAGAAGGAGCCTCGCCCGTCCGGGGAGGGAACTGGGGAGCAGGAAGAGGCCCCGCCCTCCAGCTCCTCCCTTCGGGTGACCTTGCAGAGGACTATGAGCAGCTGGTAGAAGACATCGTGCGAGACGGCCGGCTCTACGCCTCTGAGAACCACCAGGAGATTTTAAAGGCAAGTGAATGCTAACAGCGATGAGCCCCGGCACTTCATGAGCGTGTAATATGCTAAGTGCTTCTGGGGTGCTCCCATTTGGCACCCACAGTAACTGTGTGAGGTAGGTGCGGCCATCACTCCAGCTTTATAGGTGAGACAGCAAAGGCACAGAGTTAAAGAACTTGCCCAGTGGTGGGCCAGCAGGTGGCGTGGTGGGTAAGGTAGCTAGAGCCCACATGGCTGACTACGCAGTTTGAGTCCCAGACCCAGCAGCTTGAAACATACACCAGGCGTGGGGCCAGCAGGTAGCACGGTGGTTAAGGAGCTGGCCTCCCACATGTCCAACCATGGTCCTAGTCCTGGACCTGGCAGCTCACTTTTCCCCTGTCTCTCGCTCTCTGTCTCTCTCTCTGGTGAATTAAAAAATAATAATAATTGGGATTAGCAGTTAGCGTAATGGCTATGTCGCTGGACTCCCATGTAGTCGACTGCAGTTCAAATCCCGGACCCAGCAGCTTAAACTCTCGCCAGGTGCGTGTGTGTGCACGTGCCCAAGATCCCAAGAGGAGAATGGAGGAGAAGGGATTGCGGCGTGACCATCCCCCCGGGGGGGGGGAGTTCTGTCGCTCTCTCCTGTCTCTCTCTGTCTGTCTGGAGAGTGCACACGCCCTATAGCAAAAACTTCTCCAAATAATAATAATAATTAATTAAATTTTAAAACTAATTCTTTAACAAAAGAGAAAAACATACCAGGCGTGTGTGCATATGTGCCCAACATCCTGAGAGGAGAAGGGATTGCAGCATGGCCATCCCTCCTAGGGGGTGCTTTTTCACTTTCCGCTCTCTGTCTCTCTCTGGTGAGCACTTGTTCCTTACAGCAAAAAAGAAAAAGAGAAAAAAAAACCCACTGATGCAGTGGAAAGAACCACCCGTCCAGGAGCCAGCAAAGATGTGTGGGCCACAGCACCTCGCAGGCCCTCCATACTTCAGAAAAGGCCTCTGGGGGCCTGGCAGGTGGCGTGGTAGTCAAGGGCACTGGATTCCCACATGGTCAACCGTGGTTTGAGTCCTGAACCCGGCAGTCTGCTTTCTCCCTTTCCCTTCTGTTGCTATTAAAATAATAATAATAATAAAGTTAAATAAAATAATTCTTAAAAAAGAAAGAAAGAAAAGTCCTCCGAGGAGGAGACCTGAATGAAGTAAAGAGGTCACCCAGTAGAAGATCAGGGAGGATCACTCCGAGCTGAGAAGCATGAGAGCAGTTTGGTATGTGCAAGAACCTCAAGGCCAGCGTGGCTCAGCAGGGTGGAGACGAAGAGAGGAGTATTGGGCAGAGAGCACATCAGCCTATGGGCCTTGCGAGAGACTTGGCTTTACTGGGAGTGACTGGATAAATCAGAATACTGCAATGGGAAAAAGACTAAGGGTAGACACATGGAGACCAGTTAGGGGCGATTACAGGGGTCCAAGTGCGAGAGAATGGTTGGTGGCTTGGACTGGGTGGTAGCTGTGAAGCCGGTGGGGAGTGGTCAGACCCTGCATGTCTTTCCTTTTTTTGGAGAGGTTTTTGCTATAGGGCACATGCGCACTTGCCAGACAGAGACAGAGAGAGACAGAGAGACAGAAAGCAAGAAATCACCCCCAAGGGAATGGCCACGTCACAATCCCTTCTCCTCTCGGGATCTTGGGCATGCACACACACACGCCCGGTGTGAGTTTTAAGCCACCGGGTCCAGGACTCGAACCACAGTCGACTACATGGGAGTCCAGCGACATAGCCACTATGCCAACTGCTGGTCCCAGACCCTGCATGTCTTGAAGGTGGAGTCAAAAGGATTCGCTGTAGTTGTGAGTAAGAGAGGAGTCAGGATGGCTCCAAGGACTGGGTCCTGAGCAGTAGACAGAGGAGCTGCTGTTGATGGACGTGGAATTCCAAGGCAAGCAGACGGTGGGAATGGGATTTCAGAGTTCGCCTCTGGATACGTTCAGTGTCAGTGCCTATGAGACATGGCGAGGGCCACTCAGTGGAGGCTGTTGTTCCTCTTCCCTACCCCAATGCCGGGGCCGACAGTGCTGTCTGCCATCCTCTGCAGGACAAGAAGCTCATCAAGGCCTTCTTCGAAGTGCTGGCCCACCCCCAGAACTACTTCAAGTACACGGAGAAACACAAGGAAATGTTGCCGAAGTCCTTCATCAAGCTGCTCCGATCCAAAGTTTCCAGCTTCCTGAGGCCCTACAAATAGTGCCCCTAGGCCCAGAGACCCAGGTTTTGAAACCCCCAGACTCTTTAGCCCTCAGAGCCAGCAGTCCCCACCTTCAGGCAAGGAACTCTCTCTCTCTCTCCTTGGCGGAAAAAAGTGAATCACTGCACAGACCAGGTGCTCTTCCTGTCCTGTCCTCCCGGTTTCCTTCCCTTGCCTCTCTCCGCCTCTTTCCTGCTTCCCCTTTTCCTTTGTGCTGTCTGGAAAAGCCATTCAGTGCTGGCTCTACCCCCCATGAGGGGGCAAGAAGCAGTACCACTCCTTCCCTTGCCCATTTACCAGCTCACACCCCTGGCCCCATCAGCTCGGAAGGGTGCTAGAGGCCCACGAAGGAAGTGGAAGGGGTGAGGGAGGTGGTAGAGGGGCTTCTGACATTATAGGGTTGTGCCTTGCTAGTCAGGAGCCAAATGTCCCCTGGCTGTGCCCCCCCAGGGCGATTCTCACAACCCAGGGGTTCTGCCAAAGAAGTGTTGATTTCCAGGCTGACTGCCAGACCAGTCCTCTGGGGCGTGTGGTGTGAGGCCTGAACTGCCCACACGGCCAACCTTCTCGTCTGTACGGCTCCTCTCTTTCCCCACACATCTGCCTGGGGTCACCTTACTCCATGAGGGTTTGCAAATGGCTCATCTTGCTGGGCTGGTGGATACGGACCGAGTAAGGAAGAGCAGCAGGCATTACCGTGTTCAGTGCACCGCTGTGGCCCCCCGCGAGAAAGACTATACAGCTCTGCAGGACAGAAACCAGGTTTTACAGCATCACCAGAAAAAGAAAACAGAAAGAAAAGAAAATGTCGTATCGAAAGGACTGGACTACAGAACAATCAGAAGCTAGCCTCAGACACAGACCCCTTTTCCGACTGTCTTTCCTGGCCCAGCCACCCCCTTCCACCCACCCAAGTGCTCCCTGGGGGAGCCCTATCCCTTTGCTAAATGTCCTTAAGAAAACATGGCTGTTGACCCCAAGCCAGCCTGGGCCTCGCCCCACAATTGTCTTTTCCTTGTAGCCCCAGGTGACTTGTGGGCTCCACCAAAGAGGACCCTGCTCTGCAGCCAGTGCTCTGCAGCCAGCCTGGAGCCGCCTACCTCTGGCCTCAGACTGTGGGCAGCAAGAGGAACGTGTGTGCACTTGGCAAGCCGCCTGCCCACCCTGTCCACAACTAATAAGTGCAATCATTTTGAGTCTTTCTGTGTTGTCTAGAAGGAGGGGTTAGTGTTTTCTGGTTTTGTTTTTGTTTTTCTTTTTCCTCTATTAGAACCCTATTTATAGTTGCCCAAGAAAGAAGAGTATATGTTTGGAGTGAAGAAAATTGGTTTTCAATCTCATGAACCCTGCGTGCTGGAGCATCAGACCTGTCTCTGTTCCACCAGTGACCACACAGACCTCTGAGGCCCTCAGCTGGTGTAACCCGAGACTATGGCTCAGAGGCATCTGATGTGTAGGACAGCAATTCTGGGGGTTTGATGGAGCAGGAAAGAGGGGGACCTGTATTTGCTAAACAATTCCCGTTGCCTCTCGACATCTACAGCATGGACCTCCAGTCATAGACACTGACGGAACTGGTCAGTGGTTCTCTGCCCCAAGT